TAGGTCCAGTCAGGCTCCCAGAGAGCTCATCACAGGCAAGGGAATCAAGGTAGGAACAGAAGAGCATGTATGGGCTTGTCCAGGTTGGGTTAAGAACAAAAGTCTACTTGGGAGACAGAAAGGGTAATGTATATTCAGAACACGAGCTCCTCTCAGGAGGCGTAGTAGTTTGAAGTGGGAATTGGGTGAAGTTGGGGAAGGCGGGCAGAGGCAGCAGAGCTGAAATGAACTTCTCCAACAAGGACTCATGATGTGACTGTTGGGACGTGTTTGGGCTCTCATCCAGTCATTCTTCCCGGGAATAATGACGGCCAACTTAGCCCAGGTGCTGGGACACATCTGTGAATTAACAATTCCTGCCCTCATGGGGTCTGCACTCTCCTGAGGAAGACGGCACTGACCGACATAAACTGCATGTACGTTTAAATAGTGGTGAGTGTGAAGGAGAGCTGCGGGAACGTGGACTTGTACACAGAAAGGGCAGGGGGTTTAAATGGAGGAGCAACATGGTTTGCTTATAAGCTAAACACTCTGGCTGCTGTTAGGGACAGAGTGAATCAGGTCAGGGACAGTAAAACTGCACAACAGAGCAGGCGACTGTGACACAACAGGACATGGCAGTGAAGACGGCAGGAGGTCACAGCTGGTAGGGCTGTTCCTTCAGGTGGCACCTCCAGGACGCGCTGCTGCCTCCTGGGTATCTGTCTGTGACCCCACTGTGGTCACTCGAGATGAGCCTCTGCTCACTTCTGCAGTCCCATTTCTCAGCCCTCCCCTCTGCAAACCCCGGCTGGCCAGGCTGTGTGTGTGCAAGTCCTCAAACACGTGTCCCCCACCAGCGCTGCTGTGTCGTGGGTTCCACGGTTCCTGAACTTTTCTTGGCTCAGTCTTATTTACCCTGAAGGCTTACCTTAGCTCTCACCCTTTCTGGTAGTGCTTTCTGCCCCAGCCCAGGTGAAACAGGTGAGTCAGGCTCGGTTATCTCTCCCCTTTATGTCCCCTGGTTTTCATTTTATGCCCTGCTCTGCCATGATACTCGGCATGCTAATTTTGAAATTTTACAGACCTTCATCTTTTTTATTCTGAAAACCACAGCACAGTGAGAAATGCAGTTTATTCTCAATAAAATTTTACTTTTTAAAATTCCATATGTGTTTATCTCTTTGAGATCAGACTGTAAGCATAATAACAGGAGGACCTGGGCTGTGTCCTTCCTTCTCTACGTTCTAAATACCCAGCACAGTGCGTGATGCACAGTAGATTCTCTGTAAGTGCTAACTTTAAAAAAGTGCAAACACCATGTATCCACTCTCCTGACTGGAAACTATAATTAATTAGCCCCACAAAACAAAACAAAACAAAAAAAGTGAATATTTGGTAACTGGTAGAAATGTGAAAAGTGAAATGTGTGAGGAGGGAAAAGAGCGGCCAGCAGCTGGACACGAGAGCGTCTGAAGCCCTGTTGAGACTCAGTCACTCATGTCCCCAGAGTAATTAATGGGCAGAATCTCCAGATCCTGTCACCAAAGAGACTGTGATAGCCCAAGGATGTGCACACTGACCAGCTGGATGGGCCAGAGGAATAGGGGTGTGAAGTCACACACACGACCCCCAAGCCATTGCCATGCGTCCATATCTATTCCAACTAACATATGTGTCAGTTAGACACCTTGAAAAC